ATATATATATCTTATGTATATATATTATACATAAGATACATAAGAAAAAAAATAAATATATATATATATATTTTTTTTTCTTATGTATCTTAGATTAATTAAACTACATCTATAGAACATTACAGTTTTATACATTAGAAAGTGTAGGGAATGCAGGAAAAAGTATGATGTGTGTGTGTGTATGAAATCAGTTTCGCTGTTCTTGCATCATTTTCAATGTTACGTTGATATAGTTTTTACAGAGTAATGATGTAGGCCTAGTTTACAGCATTTAAGTGATGAAATTTAATTTATGTACAGCATGCGTTTGATTTACTGAGAATTGTGCTGTAAATTAGCAATAATTTCTTTCTATATGGAATATATTTACTTGTAGGGCCTATATGATCAGCGTTTTGATGTTAACGTATAGAATACTTGCTGCTTATGTAAATTACACTGGACGGAACTGATAAATTTAGATTAACAGCATATTTTTATATTAAAATTATAAATATATTGATAGCAATGATAAGTTTTAGGCATAGGCAACTTGGGATTTATAAAGTCCCAAGTTACCTATGCCTAAAACACCGTAGGAATGTGGGGCTTATCGATAGTTTCTTACTTGAATTCAGTATTAGCAAGGATCATGTCATATAAACTTGTATAAAAAGGCTTTGTAAGTCTACACTTGCTAGGACATTGCGTTGTATAAGGAAGCCTTTAGTGATTTAAATATTTTTTACAGTTGTAAAGTATCATTAAAAAATTAAATATATGCCTGCAATAAAGTTAGACACTGTACTGTAAATTGATAACTATTATTCGGTGTTTACTATGAAAATATATTCACGCTTTTATTACTGTAAGTACTTTTACAGTTTCAAAATAGGATACCTTTTTTGAAAAATTTTGTCTTTTGTTTTCAAAAATTCGTAATTTTATGGGTAAAAATACAAAACGGTAATCTTTCATTGTCGATGTCGCCCAGCAGTGGCCTAGTGGGTAAAACCACTGAACACTGGTGGTTGGTCACGGGTTCGCGCCTTGCCAACGGGCTGGTCACATGGAGTTTTCCGGATTTTCTTCGCGTGTGTAACACCTGAATTTCGTGTCTGCCAGTTCTCATAAAAGATCTTCCAAGAAGCATCCTTCCCCAGCAGATCGCCCATGTGTCGCGTTGCCATATACGAATAAACCAAACCAAGCATCCAAAATTAGCAGAATTGGTGTGTAGTACCGCTGCCAGGTAGTGGGGCTTATTGGTAGCACCTTTATTCATTAAAATTTTCATTAAGACTCGAGTTATTGAAGTAGTAACACGAATGTATTGAATGTTTCGTGATATTAACTCGTTTAGTGAATGATCTCACTGGACGGATTTATATCAAATGACATTTTCAGTGTTATTTACGTAACTCGAGACTAAATACTAGGCATTCTTAATTTGGGTATATTCTTTAGAAACAGGAATGTGTTCGGGTTGTCATGTGATACGAATTTGTTTAGTAGATCATTTATTAAGTGATTTCTCACCGTGTTTTCTTAAAGATATTTGTTGAATTGGCTTGATTGTACACAGCAACGCAACACGTGGGAGATCTGCTGAAGGGAGATGCCTCCCGGGAGAACTTCCTATCGAAATTGCCCTTTATTTAAATGTTACAAGTGTGAATAAAACCCGGAAAACGCCACGTGGCCAACCCGTTAGCGATGCACAAACCCACCACTAGTGAGTGTTTCGTGATTTTATCCATTTGATCAA